ATAACCGTAAAGCAGAACTTATCGTACGATGGCGCAGCATACGCGACGTTTCAACTTCAGTGAAAGGTGCGTGCGTTGCTCGAGCCTTGGAAATGTGGGTGGTCATCTCCTTTGATGCGCTACAGTCGTTCGTCACGCAGATACCTACGAACGATAGGCAGTTCAGTTTCAGTTTGTACAACAATTAACCATGCACTATCGTGCGCCGGTTTTGGTTGCTATCTTTCGGCTGCTCGTTTGGATAAACCTAGGCAGAAAGACAGGAAGAGTTGAAAGTAGGATCGAAGAGAAAATTGTAAAGTTCAACGAACTAATGATACAGATAAATTGAGAAGATTCACGAACGCCACTGTTTACGACACCGAGCCATATCACACACTGTCTCTAACCATCGGGTACAACCATCCCGGGAGCCTAACGGGACCTATGTGACCCAGACTCCTGGTTAGGGTTTCAACACCCTCGTGCCAGGTTCTAGCATGACTTTCTTCTACCCACTACCTGCCTCGGTAAACATCGCTCACCATGGCAACCTCTCTGGTGACATGCGTAACTCATGCCCCAACCAGCGTAATCTATGGAGGTCGACCACTTGCTCCAGTGGGCGACCGCGGTTGCCTAAAGCTTTTCGCCTGACTTCAGCATTCCTCGTCCGGCTGCCCTATCAGATTGGTGCACTGCTGCGTAGACAGCGATGTTCAAACACCGACAGTCTGTCTTTATCTTGTTTTCTTANGTCTTAGGTACCCATTTAGGAAACCCTCCTTCCCATCGGTCTAGTTCTTCCTCTCAATCCCGAGTAATCCCAATCGCCTGCTATTTAGAAGACCCATCGGATATCACTCTGTGTTTTACAAACAATTCCAAACATTCAGAAGTTACAGGATTTTTTTGAAGTAGTAGAAGCATTCAATTTCAGCTAATTCCTGACCGTCTAGCTTCAGAACAGAACTCAGTGACACCACGTCTTGAACCTCCATCACGACGAGACTGCACCTTGACGTGGTGTGATGGCTTGCGTGCCTCAGTGACCCTGCGAGCTACACAGGATGGCTTCTCACAGCCGTAGATCCAATCATGCCTGAAAGGTCAACGGGTAGAGACCAGACAAAGCTCAGTCTCACAAAGCCAGCTGCTTGGGCACCTTCTGGCTTCCTCCTATCCACACCCGCCCCTGGAGAGGCCACTCCAGCAAATAAACACGGTGAGGGGCAGTTTACCGATCAAAAAAACCCCGCTAGATGGACGTAGGAGCGGGGTACCTGGGGCTTCCTCTCGACGGTGGGAGAAGTCTTCGCACTTCATTGGACAGCTACCGCCCGCCCAAGCTGGGCAGCCCCCCAGGCAATAATGTGCTGTCCCGTCCACGTTCCGCTTGTCTCATTGGGTGTATGAGGCTGACGACTGATCCCGAAAAGCGGACCGAAAATCAAAGCGGACCAGCGAACAACAAACTTAACCGAACTTCAAAGGCCTTGCGCGACAGGTCTCCAGAAGCTCCCACGGGTGCTTTGTTCACGCTCCCACGTTGGATTTACGCCCCACTGCCTTGTGGGTCAGACTTTTAAGTCAAAGGCTCCGGTTAGGGTTCCCAAAGAAAAACCCCTTCGTCAGTGTGGGCTACCGCGAATATGCCGTGCCCTAAAGTCTTAGGCACCCATTTGGAAAACCATCTTTCCCATCTCTCTAGTCCTTCTCAACCTCGATTAATCCCACATGCCTCCTGTTTGCGCCACTCATCGAATATCGCTCAGCGTTTTACCATCAAGGCAAGACATTCAGAAGCTATAGGGTTTTTAAAGCCAAAATCCCTTTTTCACTTGGCCGCGTTCAATGTCCGCACGCTCTATCAGATTGGCCAACAAGCTGCCCTGGCTAAAACTCTCGAAACTTTCAATGTAGATGTATGTTGTGTCTCTCTCTCTCTCTGCGTTCTCCTGAACCAACCTCAACCTCACGCTTCACCCTTCTTGTGTCAGGCG